TTTTGAGGGAGATTAAAGACAACATCTCTTACTTTAAAAAGTTTTTAAATATTTAAACATTTAATGTAATTTTTGCTCACACCTCGAAGATTCTTTTCACCATCAGCTTTCTGTCTGTTGTTTTTTTTTCCCTACAAGTCCAGGGCAACAGAAAACCTCTAGTGCACCAAGGTTTCCAGCCAGCTGCGACCTCGGCAGGCTGTCACCCGGCCCTGCTGTTTCAGCAACAAGCTCCGGAAAGCCAGCACTTTCGCTCCATGCAGGGGCTGGGACTCACTCCTGCAGGCGTGCGGCCGCGAGAGGAGCACATACCTTTCACCTGCTTCACACTCCGCAGGGCGTACTTCAGGGTGGCCAGTGTGCTGGCCTTGCCCTTGGCCTTCTTGTCCGCAGGGAGGTGGACCTTCAGCTCCCGCAGCGTTTTTATCAGCTCTTTGTGAGTCTCTACTTTGGCGGACGCCTTGCTACTGTGAAAGTCAAGACAGAGGCGATCACAGGTGAACTCCCTGACGTGATTTCTGGATAAACGTGCTCAGGGTGGCTCTTGCGGGGCTCTTGGAGGTGTTCATGGCCTCACCCACCGGGGCACAACAGCACCCTTGCCAATTACAGTGGCCAAAAATGTCTGGGGACACTGCTGGAGACAACTCCTCGGAAAGAAGCCCTGTGCTGACTTTTGTGGACGCTGAAGAAGTCCCTGCTGGGGCGCTCTCCCCAGGGTCAGAGCTGGCTCTCGCCAGGAAGGGCTGCCTGTCACTGAGCTGCGCCCATTTTCCCTGTCCCATGAGAAAAGTACTGCACGGCAGGGACAGAGGGCAGCACAGTGACCAGGAGTGCAGAGGAGAGAAAGGGGACCTTGAGAAGTACACAGAGAGGAGAGGACAACAGGACACCTGGGCCTGGGCTCAGGGTTAAGAGTGGATTTTGTGCCAGAGGTGACAGCAAATGTCTGGGTGCATAAGGATAACTGGTCACAAACACCCAGAGAGGGAGAAAGCTCCTGAGGAAAGCCTGGGACTCGGGAGGGCTGGGAGGAGCTCTGGGAGTGGGAGCTGGAGCTGAACTCAAGGGCTCTGAGAAGTCACAGGGACAGTGGGCGCCTGGACAGCCGTGCAGGCCTGCAGGCCTGGGCGGAACATGGACAGTGTCGCCTCACTCCCTGGACCTGGCCTTCCTACTACCCTCTGGGCCTCTGGGGTGCGAGGCAGGAGTCGTGGGGGCCTCACCTGCAGCCGCTCCCGCTGGTAGACAGGTTGGGCTCAGGCTCCGCCATCATCAGGCTAAAGGCCCTGGAGTGCGAACAGGAGAAAATGGACCTCAGGTAACGGTGTGCTCCGTGAACCTCCTCCCACCCAGCAGCCAGCACAGCACAGGTCATCCGCGCAGGGGCAAGAGGACCCGGAAACACAAGGCGGGCTTGAGGGCAGCTCTGAGGTACAGCGCTTGCCTCGCATGCGCGAGGTCAGCTGGCAGGACAGCTAGGAGCTGGGAGACGGAAACGCAAGGCCAAAGTGGCCAGGCACGTTCTCTAATGGCCCCGTCAGTGCCAGGACTGCAGCTGGGCCACCTGGCCCTGCAGCCTCCCAGGGTGCCATTCCACGTAGCCCCTGTCTGCCACAGACTTGAAACGTACACTGACGTCCTCATTAGCAAGGAAGGGTCCTTGCACATTTTAGTTACTCTGAGTATCAAGACTTTCGGGAGCTGGGTGAGATGGCAAACCAGCACTCGGGAGGCTGAAGCAGGGGGATTGCCATGAGTTCGAGGCCAGCCTGGACTACACAGTTCAAGACCAGCCTGAGCTACATAGAGAGCACCTGTCTCAAAAGACCAAAAACAAAAACCAAAAAAACCTTTCAGTTATCTTGGAAAACTCGGTGACCCTGACTGAAAGGCGCAGAAGCAGGCCTGTCACAAGGGACCTGGGATGCTCAGAGGAAGCAGCCACAGCACCCGGCCACTGCCGCACCTCTGGGGATCGGGCGGCTCCACTATCATCCCCAGCTCCTTCCCATGGTCATCGCAGTCGCTGCCCTGTGAGTCCTGCCCCGTGGAGCAGTTCTCGGGGGCTTCATTTCCGCTGGAGCCGCTGCTCATGTCTACATCCTCCTGCAGCAAGGCCTGGCCAGGCCGGGGCTCCAGGGGCTCCTTGGTGGGGTTGCTGGGGTTCGGGGGAAATTCCACATATCCATTCATGCTGGAGAAGCTGCAGGAGGAATGTCGTCAGGCATTAGAAAGCGTGCAGGGGACGCCCGAGGGTGCAGGCAAGGGGAGCAGCCCTTGCATCTCTCAGCACATTTTACACCAGCACCACCAGCCTCGCTCCTGTCTCCGAGCTCCCCCTGCTGTGATCAGGAAGGCAGCCCCCTGGCCCTGGCATGGAGGTCCTGAGGCCGAGCAACTGACAGTCACCACCCAGCTCTCGGGAGCTTTGTGAAGAATAGAGTCGCCCTGTATGGGCGGCCAGGCCTGGGAGCCTGCATTTTATAATCTCCCTGTGTGTGGCCAGCAGGTCCAGCAAGTGTGGCCGCCACAGCACAGCAGAGTTCCAGGACACACCGTGGGTGTGGAGCCTGTGGGGAGACAAGGGTGTCTAGGAAGTGGGCTCCACAGGGCTGGGGCTGATGGGTGTGGCACCTTCCTGCACCTGGGCTCCCAAGCACCGCACTGTGTTCTGGCCCAGCACCAAGGTGAGAATGGGACCTCTGGTTACCCTGAAGGTCAGGAGCCGCTGACGCTCCACCCTGCCCGGGGTCGCATACTTGGACAGCCCTGCTTCCTGCTGCCCACTGCTCTGACTGCCTGGCACCCAGGGCTTCCTCATGGCAGGCCACAGCGAGAATCTCCCCCGTGCACATGGGGCTCACCTTCCCGGGGTACCCAGATGCAGAACAAGGAGCCAGAATCCCTGGGCCAGGAATGAGGGCCCGGGAGGAACTGCAAGGCAGTGGCAAGCCGGGCTGAGGGGTGCGGTTTCAGGGGACAGCCCTGCGTGCAGGTGGCTCTGACCCGACCTCCCGAGTGCTGATCCCGGGCCTTAGCCCCCAGCCTCCAGCCGAGGCCCCAGGAGGCGGGAGTGAATGTGGACTGTGGGGGACAAGAACAGAAGGAGCTGGCTGAAAACCCCCGTGAACAGCCCTCCTCAAATGAACCGGTGGGAAGCCTCTGTCCCCTCCCCACCTCCCCACCTCCTTTCTTTGACAGCCTTGGTGATGAGGTGTCTGTGACGAAGGCCATCATCCCAGGAGGACGCCACCTCATGTGCCACCAAGCTCCCCTTCCCCACTTCCCTGTCCTTCCCTCTTGCCACCCAGCAACTGCCCCTCTGGGAAAGCACTGCCACTTCCGGCTTGCCCCAGACTGCACATTCAAGACCCAACACCACCGGCCAGAGGTGGGCAGGGCGCGGGCTGCTGCAGGGGGAGCAAGGGCAAAGGTCCTGGGGCCAGCGAGTGCCTGACCCATTTGAGGAAGACGGAGGAGGCCAGGATGCCAGGCGGGCAGAGTCAGGGGTCCAGCATGCCAAGCGGGCAGAGGCAGAGCTGCTTTCACTGGGTGAGGTGTTGGGGGTGCACCAGGTCTGACTTACACTTGAGCCGGATTGCAGGGTGGGTGGGGGAGCAGGGGTCCTCCTGGGGGCTCCCGCCTGGGGCCCTGGTGCTACTGAGAGCTGTCCAGGGTGCTGAGGGCTGCAGACCCCAGCACTCCAGGCCCCCCTGTCTTGTCTGCATGCCCCAGACCAGCAGCCTGGCTTTTCTGCTGTGACTCGGTCACCAGGACAACGGGAGGGCTCAGCAGAGCGGTCAAGGGAACGGGCCCCGGAGGACAGGGTTTCACCGGACTCCACCCCTTCCTGGCTGTGTGACCCGGGACAAGTGCTCCGCCTCTGTGCCTTGCCGCCTCATCTCTAAGATGGAACTAACACCCGTCCCTGTCTTATTTCGGTGGCTGGGAGGCTACAGGGTACAAAGTGTGCCAAGCACCTGCAATGTAGCAAGTGTCCAACAAGTGACTTTTGTTATCACTCCTAGTCACTACAGGAAAACAAGGGTGACAGGAGAGAAGTTTCAGTGTTGGGGGCTCTGCCTGGTACTCCTGGGGCTGCTGGTTCTCACCCCCAGATCCGGCCCTGCGAGCCTGCCTGAGTAGGATCCACCAGTGCAGAGACTATCTTGGGTGGAAAAGATTTTTTTTGCAAAGGGGATGATGCAGACCCGGGAGAAATGTGAGCAGCGAACCGCGCCAGCTTGTCAGAAAGCCCACTATCACAGAAAATGCACCCCTCAGCACCAACGCGCTCGTGGGTGACCTTGGTGTGCGAAGCTGGCCGAACCCAGTGCTGGCCAGGGCAGACTTTGCCTGTGCACTCCTGCGGGACGCTGCCCACAAGGAACCTGTTCTGCGAGGCGGGTGGGGTGGGGAGGAGACGGGACAGCCTGGCTTCACTTGTCACCTGCTGGCTCCGGCTCCGGACAGCGGTCAGACTGAGGAACAGGGCTGGGCTTGGGCCCTGGGCGTGGTCACTCAGGCAGACAGAGGTGGGCTGAGAAAGTGCTGTGGGATGACGTCAGGAGTCTGGCTCCAGTGGGGTGGGGAGCAGGGCCAAGGTCCAGGGCCACTGAGGCTGGCTGCTCAGTCCTGGGAGGACACAGCACAGCCCCTCTGTAGGGCAGCTATCCAGACTTTCCGTGCTGAGCCTTCGCAGAGAGAACGCAAACAGCCTGGGCCAGCTCAGCTTCTGCGCCATCTTGGCCCACAAAGGGCCGCTCATGCCCCTCCAGCCCGCTGAGGGAATACAGACCATCCCGGGGACCTCAGAAAACAGCAACTGCCCAGCGCTCCTGAGGATCACTTCTGGAGAGAAGTGCGGTCGCCTGTGTGCACTGGCGGTCACAGCCTGACGAACACCCCGCCGCTGCCCCCAGCCCCTCGCTGGGTTGGCTTCCCCCAGCCGGCTCCCGCTGCCGGCTCCCCACCTTACATAACACCACCAGACAGCCTGCTCTGTGTGCCTGCGCCTGCGGCGTTTTACAACCCCAGCTATTATAACATGTTTCTACTTCCTGCTCTGAGCCTGCTCCCTGGGGCCAGCCTGCTGTAATCCAGAGAAAATGTTTGTTCTGGTAAATAAACAGCCACGCTCTCCATGGTGACGGTTGGGTAACCGAGGAAAATGTGGCCAGGCCTGTCCAAATACGGAAGGGAAGGAGGCACACAGGGCATCGTCTCAGCCTCCCCAGGCTCCCCGAGGTGCACTTCAGTCCTTACACAGGGCGAGGAACCCTGTGTTACAGCAATAATGCCAGGTCCGGGCTGAGCCGCTCAGCGGGTAGCGGGATCCCCCTCCCCCGCAGTTCCAGAGCTGTTCTTACTTTACCACAGTGAACGGATCCTGGTGCCTCACATCACTCCTAGGGAGAGCCCTTCGGGGCCAAGAGGGCGCCACGGCACCCACCCTACCCAGACTGCCAGCCGTGGCAACCCCGTGGCAATCCCGTGGCCTTGGCCTGTCCCCCGGGCTGGCGCACACTTACTGCCTCTGGCGTGCTCTGGCCTTGAAACTCCAGCGACCACAGCTTGCAGTGCGCCGTGCACAACGGGCATAGGCAGGAAAGAGGGCCAAGTGCCCAGAGGGAAGTGTGGGGTCAGGGGGCGGTCAGCAGACTCCCCTGCCCCATTCTCCCGGGGGTCTGAAGGTGGGCACTTCCCACGGGGCAGGCCGCAGAGGTCTGCAGAGCCGCGAGGCCGTCTCACTGAGTACGGCAGTTTCACAAAGGTCAAAGCTACCATGCTCCTCCTACTCCAGACCGGGACATCCCACCAGCCACCCAGCGGAGAGCCCGTGGTCTGCGTGGAGAGCCTAGCACTGGTGACAGGAACCGTCCCACTTCCTCTGCAAACAAGCCTCACAGGGTGACGCCAGGGGAGCCCGAGGCAGGGTCGTCAGAAACCTCCGTTTCCTACGCTGGTGTCTGGAAACGTCATCTGTGAGTGCAGGAGCCCAGAACTCTGGAACTGAATGGCTCTGACCCCCTCCTTCAGACGAAGAAACGAGGCCCGGCGCAGTGCCAAGCTGCTGGCTGGCACAGGGCTCTCCTCCCCACCCAGGGCCCCAGCCTCCACCGGGAGCCGGCCGCACCAGCTCCGTACCAATGAATCACACCACGGTGACAGTGACACACAGCCGCGAGCACTCCCAGTGCCATCCCTGTGTTGGCACATCACGCAGCCGCCGCTCGTGAAGGGAAGGAGTCCCTTGCTTCACGACGGCACACGACTTGGGGAAGGGGATTCGCCTCTCCACGAACACTGTTTCCAGCGGAGCCACATGCACAGCACACCTAGGTCCCTTCTCAGCCAGGAGTGGACACCGGAAACCCGGGGGTGGGGGGCAGTGGGCGTCTTCTCTTCAAAGCCAGAGGCCAGTGGCTCTGCTGGGCGGGCAAAGGAGGTAAAAGACGCCAGGGAGGGGTGCCTGCCACGTGCTGGGGTCCCTAATGTGGGGGAGGGCATGCCAGCTGGGTGCTGGGAAGGCCCTGAGGGGCCTGGGTTTGGCTGCCTGTCAGGTCCAGGGGTGGCACTGCACGTTTCCAGGGAGCCTCCTGGCCCTGCTGTTCCTTGCTTATGAATCAGCCTCCAGACTGGCTCCCTCTGTGTAGGTTTCAGAAACCCTGGCAACCAGGGTGTCCTCACTCTGGCCCTGAGGGGGGCGGGCAGCAGCCCACACCCCTGGTCCGTGTCTGTCCTTGGCAGCCTGGTGGAGATGTGCCTGTCGGATATCAAGGGGGTCCCAGTCTGTCTGGGTGAGGGAGCTAGCTCAGGCGGTCCAGGGTGGGCAGGGCCGTGAGCATTGTGGGTCTCCCTGCCCGGGTTTCCTGGCCTGGCTGGGCGCAGGGACTTCCTTGCTTCTGCTCACCCACTCCAGGAGACCCCGCAGTGACCCACTCTTGGCCTTACCCAGGCCCAGACTGGGCTGTCAGAACCCCCTACATCCCAGGGACAGTTGCACTGACCCCCAGTTCTCTTGGCCTCCCTTGGGGGTGGTGGGGTGTCTTGGAAAAGAATATCGTTTGAAGAACGACAGTGTGGGGCAGCAGTCAGCAGCGCTGTGGTGTTGGACAAGCTGTCTAACCCCGGGGGACCTCAGTTTCTCCATCCGCAGAATGGGGCCACTGAGACCCACCTTGCTGAGTTTCAACGCGCGTGGATGACCCGGTCGGCGTCCTGCACACCCCTCCCAGCGACGGCCGCGATCGGGTCAGGAGGGCGTCTAGAGGCCCAGAAAGCGCTGGGCCGGCGCGGGACCCCCGCCCGGCCCGCCGGCCAGCGGTTACGTAAGCGGCCCGACAGTCTGCGCACCGCCCTCCGCACCCTCCGCGAACTCACCGCCGCCGCGTCTGGCCTGCCCGTCTGTCGGCCCCTCGGCCCGTGGGTCCGTCCGCCCGGCCCGATCGCCAGTTGCCAGCCGGAGCAGCTGGTTCTCCTCGCTGCCAGCTCCGCGCAGGTCGCCGCTGTCACATAGTGGAAAACGTGACCGCGCGCGCCAAGCCCGCCCCCGGAGTTAACCATTGGCCGAGGAGCCGCCTCATCTGCATACCGGGGGGGCCGGGCCTGCGAGAGCCGCGTACCCATTGGTGGCGGCGTCCATCGCTCTCTTTACATAAGACGCACATGGAACTCCATGTTCATCGCCTCTGTTCTCAATGAAGCCGCTGCGCGATCGAGCCCCCCCTCCGTCCTCCCTAGTGGTCCTTTCCACTTCCGGCCTCGGCGCCTTCCATTCAACTCGCCCGGCTGCGGCCTGCTCACACAGCGCGGAGTGGCGCGTACCACTGCGGGGCGGGGGAGCCGGGCGCCAGATGGGATCTCGCTGCGCACCTCGCTCTCCAAGGAAGCCCAGGCCCAGGGAACCTGCCACCCTAGTTGACAGGCCGGAAGCGTGCCCCCAGGGCCGCGGGAAACCCCAGGCGAACATGCTTCGTTCGCTCGATCCATTTCATTCATTAACTCTCTCATTCATTCATCGCTAGGCTCTGGAGTTGTGGGGACAATCAGGGCGGCCTGCCCTGCAGCAGCTCCGCGTGTACGCCCACCCATGTCACCGGGGGCCGGTGGTTGACACTTGTCCCAGATTGGCCAGGACAGCCGGCTTTTGAGTCGTCTTTCTTATTTTTGAAACCATGTTTTGCAATTTGGGGTTTAGGAAATAGGCTTATTGTTACTGTGAAGAGGTACAAAAGAAAGACTGGTGTCCTCGCCCCCAGGCACGTCGTCAGGGACGGAGGACGGCCTTCTCAAAAGGAAACAATCGAATACTGAATCGGGTCTAGAGAGAGCGGGAGCTGTCCTGGAAGCTCCAGGGAGGAGGCCAGCCTCAAGGGTGGGAGAGGGGCCTGTCACAGAGTCACACCAGCCAAGACTGGCAGGCTCCTGGGGACAGTGAGGCTACTTGTTCTCTTAGTGAGCGTCCTTTGGGGGGCCTGATAAGCCCCCAGCCTCCTGCCCAAAGATCATGGGAGAGTGTGATGCTTCCCCTGGGACTAAGCCTGGGACTTACTTGCAGGACGCAGGAAACAGTTGGTGGGCTCTGCAAACGTAGGGCCTGGTGAGGGAGGCAAGCTGGACAAGGTCCCAGGCCTTGTCCTAGGAGATGCTGGGCCTGTAGCATCTCTCTCCACACTTCCTGAGCTTCCTGGGCTTTCCTGGGGAACCAAGATGACAGGGAAGAAAAAATTACCACCCTGCAGCTTGTGGGCAAACTGAGCTGCTACCTCACATCCAGGGAGTGCACAGCTTCTCGTGTGCAGAAGAGGCAATACCCAGTTCCCGGGGCATCCTGCTGGTGGCTCCCACTGCAGACGGGCAGCCGCTCCTCCTCTGCCTCCTACACTGACTGCCGCCCCTTCCCAGCACACACACACACACACACACACACACACTCCAACCCAAATGCCAAGCAAACCCAGGCCCAGCTGCACCCTACACACACCCCAAAGCTCTTTTGTTTCTGGGTTGCATTGACGTCAGAGGCGGCTCCATTGTTCCAGAAACCAGAGTAAACAGACAGCTCATCCCCACCTCACAGATTCCCCGGCAGGCCCAGTTTTTTTTTTTTTTTTTTGGTCTTGCTCCATATTCAGCCTGCAACCTAATACTATGTTTCCTCCTCAAATGCAGCCTTTTCTCTTTCCACTGGGGCAATCTGTTCTTTTAGCAATTCTCCAATGCTGTGGGCTTCTAGAACTCCTTGGAATCTAATCTGCTTTTGATTTCAAGTTTTCACTCACTCCACAAAGGTTTGTTGACACCTGGCCCTTAGGGGTGTGTGTGTGCTATATGAATCACCTTTCTGTTGCTAGGATAAAATATCTGGCAAATATGGTTTAAAGGAGAAAAGGTTTATCTTGGCTCAGAGTTTAGAGGTTTCATTTGGCGGAAGAAAGCTGCTTACCTCAAGGCAGTTAGGAAGCAGGAAGTGCTGGAAAAAAGCCAGAGAAAGAGGAGGGTCCCCAGAACAAAAACACCCTTCCAGGTTACATCCCCAGGGCCCACGTCTTCCAACCAGGCATATTCATCTAGGAATGCATCTGTGGGTTAATCCTGGGGTCAGGTTGGTGCCACGTGGCCCAATCACCTTGCAAAAGCTCTACTTCTGCACACATGACCTGTGGGAGGACTTTTTTGATGATCCTAGAATCTGAATCTAGGGACTTTGTGCTGAGCTATATCCTCAGCCTTTTTTTACTTTTTATTTTGAAATAGGAGCTTACTAAGTTGTTAAATTGGCCAGTCTGGGCTCGAACTTATGATCTTCCTGCCTTGGCCTCCCAGAGACCTGGGATCACAGGTTTGTACCACCATGCGTGGCTGTGGGGTGGGAGCAGTTGACCCAAACTGTAACCCATGAAAAAAATACATCCTGTTTGATCCCTGTTTGTAAGGAGTTTGTGATGTAGAAGAAATGCTGGGTGAGGCGGATGTGGAGGCAGTTTTGTGCAGGACGGGTGTAAGTCCTGAGAGAACAGGCCAGACTCAGGCAGGAGCTTCCATCCATCCTTCCAACAGAAAAGAAGGTTGTGGAGTATGAAGCCCCAGGAGCAGGCCAAATCCATGAACACCATTCTTGCTGAGTCAAGATGGAGAGGAGGACAGATGGCTGGAGCGGGGCAGTCAGGTTGGAGCAACGGGGACCCTTTCCCAGCCAGCCACCACTGATGGGCCGTTACCTTCAGCACAGAGCTGTTGGCCTGGTAAGTTGCCCTTGGTACTGGGGGAGGTGGGTGAGCCAGAGAAAGCCAGCCCCTCTGCTGGGGGTGGGAGTAGGCTGATGAGTCAGGGTGTTGCCTGCCTGGGGACGCTGCTGGTGAAAGCAGCTGGCCTCTGCCCCATCCTTCAGCCCCACTCCCAGCCAAGCCGGCCCTGTTGTCCGTGCCTGGGCCCTGCCAGCGGACCTCACACCTAGGCCTCTGGGCTCTTGCCTATGCCCTTCCTGGCTCTTTCACTTGCGCATGCACTGAGCTAGGTGTTTCTTGAGCACCAACCATGCACCAGGTTCTGGATCTGCGAGGATCTTTCTCTTCTTGTAGGCCGCATGGTTTGTGGGTTGGCTCGTTGGGGCGCAAGCTGGAAAGGGAAAGGACAGGAAGCTGGGAAGAGAGTTACCTCTGAACAAAGAGGTGGAGGTGGCCCGCAAAGCCCCTTCTAAGGTGGCAGCGGCACTGCCAAGCTCTCTGGCCCTAGGGCCCTGGACATGAGGAGGCCTGAGCCTCATTCTAGCCTGCTTTGTGCCTGGTGCTTGAAATAGTGGAGCTCCCAGAGTATGGGCAGTGTCCAGGCCCCCAGCAGGGTGAGACAAGGCCTGCCTGTCCCCAAAGATCAGGAATCCTTGGCCCAGGAGCCAGTGGCTCCTGCTAGACATAAGGTAGGCTGAGAACCAACATGAAGCTGGGGATGTAGCTCAGTGGCACAAACACCCGCCTGGTAAGCGCAAGGTCCTGAGTTTGTTTACCGGTACCCCGCAAAAAAAGATCCAACATGAAGATCTTACCATGGTCATGCTAGCTGCTGAGAAGGATTGCTTGACTTTCAAATATAGATACAAGAACGCTGTCCTTTGAGGGAAGTGTGTGAACTCTGTGTGTGTGTGTGTGTGTGTATGTGTGTGTGTGTTCATATGTCTTCCCTCAGGAAGTCACGAGGGTGAGCCATCAACAATGAGTGTGCAGCCCCAACTCTCTTCTCCTGCTGGAGAAGAGGCTGTGAAGAGGGACTGGGTGGGGTTTGCATGGAGCTCCTGCCTGGGGTGTTGCCATCCACAGCCCCGTCGGCTCTTGGGAATGGATGTCCTCAGCATCACAGTCCTTGTGGCACACACAGGCCAGGGCTCTGAAGAGTGTCCAGCAGAAGCAATGAAAGCAGACATCCTTGCCAGGTGTCCCCTGGAGGGAGAGTGTGTTCGGACCTTCCCCTTCACGTTTGCTAATGCTTGGGTGTTTTGGGTTTGGCCTTTGTCATTTAAGGAAAGTTCCTTTCTATTGTGACTTGCTAAGAGATTTTTGTTTGGTTTGGTTTTTTGGGTACTGGGAAATCAAACTCAGGACCTGACGCTTGCCAGGCGGGTGCTGTGCTACTGAACTAAATCCCCGGCCCAAGATTTTGTTTTGTTTTGTTTTGTTTCATAATACACAAGTGCAATAGGTTTTTAATACATGGTGATTATTGTTACTTTAAAAATATCTCCTTCAGATGGACCTCGTCTGTTTTTCACAGATCTTTAACTAATTTAATTTGTCATAGCCTTGTCTCTGTTGTACAATACCCTGTTCTTTATTGTTGTATATTAAGCAAAAATAAAAATAAGAAGCAGTGCCTGAGAGTCTACTGTTTGACTGATGGGCGTCTCCCTTTGTTGCTATAGGAACCCCACCATCACCTGTGTACCCGACTAGCATCTCTTATTAGCAACTTTGCAAATAAAGGCATGGTTTTAACAGAAGAAAAAAATATCAGTCACTTGAGAAGAGATTACTTCAGACTTCCTGGTCATGAAGCCGTTGGAAGAAAAACCAAGGATTTCACCAGGGTGAAAGCTGTGTCCTTTGGTGAGGGTGGTGACAGCCATGGTAGGTGACAGCCATCTGGCCCTCATCTTTTGAGCTGTTGCTGGGTCATGTCTGCCTCAGGCACTTATGAGTTGATTTATGGGTCAGGCTTTCTCTGGAAGCCTGAGCCCCTTCCCAGGGTTTTGGGATCACTAATACTCTCCTAGGGGGGCTCAAGGACAGGAGCTTACCAACAAGGTCCTCATATCCGTGGTGATACTCATCTCTGAGGGATCCTAGTCGTCCTGATCACTTTCCTCATTGCTGGGACACAATACATGACACCCACAGCCTAAAGGAGGAAAGGTTTATTGTAGCTCACAGTTTGTAGAAGTTTCAGTCCCTAGTCAGCTGGTTCTACGGTAGGGCAGCATGCCAGAGGGGCATCTCAGAGGAGAAACTGTCCTTGGCAGGGAAGTCAGAAGGCAGCAAGCAGCAGCAGCAGAAGCAGCAGCAGCAGCCAGCCAACCTTTCCCTTTGATCCCATCCAGGCTACCAGCCCCCTGGGTGGTACCATCCAGAACAACAGTAATTCCAATCAGTGGACTAATATAGTACCATACACCCTTATTCCCAGTCACACACACCCTAGATCCGGCCAGCTCCAAAAAGCTCCACCTATAAGCACATGAGGTTTGGGGGGACATCTAGATGCAAGCCATAACACTCCCATGTATGGAGTGTTCTCCATGGTTAGGGTAACCTTGGTGTACAAGGTGATGCCTTGCTACAGTTTGCATTGGGAATATCCCCTAATGCCTGTGCATTAGAGGCTTGGTGCCCAATATGGCTCTGCTAGGAGGTGGTAGAGCCTTTCAGAGGCCAGAACTGGCCTGAGGTTTTAGCTCCCTGCGAATGTGCTTTTGAAAGGGATTGTGGAACCCTGTCTCTTCCTCTTTGTCTTTCACATTGGCCATGGGATGAATTGTTTGGCACACACATGCTGAGTGTTACCTTGCCATGGACCCAAAAGCAAATGGGTCAACCAACCATGTACTGAAACCTCCAAAACCATGAGCCTTTGCTCAGTGTAAGTTGATTATCTTAGTTATTTGTTACAGTAATGCAAACCTGACTAAGGCACATCTGGTGTCCAAACTGACCCTTCATGTCTAAGGTGACCATGTCTCAGGTGACCCTCCATCTTGGAGTGACCTCCACTTGTCTGGTATGATCCATATGCTTTAGGTGATCCCCCATTCCTGAGGATCCTCTTCTTTAAGGGAGAAGTCACTCTTCTTGGTCAGGGTGCCATCCTATTGGTCTTCTGAGCTATGGAACTTACCTGCATCTGGTCCATTCCAAGCCCCAGCATCTCTCTTCTTCCTGGGAACATTCGTCCCACCCCAAAGCTCCTTGTGACGTGGCTACCCGGGTGTCTCTGCTTTCTCTGAACGCCTCTCTAAGCCCATGAGGGCCGGGGCACAGGTCCCTCTTGCAGGCCAGCACCAACCCACCTCTGTCCAGTCATGGGCCCTCATGCCCGGTGCTTCTGGGAGAGAGCCCAAGGGTGCCCCGTGCAGGGAGTGCTTGTTGCCCCAAGCTGCCACATGTGTCTTGGAGTTTGTCTTCTCCTGCTGGCTTCTGTTTGGTACCCAACAGGGAAAATACAAAGAGCAATTAAGAAAGATGGTGTGTGTTTATTATTCTTAGATTCTTACTGGCACATGCTTGCAGTACATAATGTTTGTATTCATCATGGGGGTGGTACATGTATATAATACAGCTTAATTCCTTTGGCTTCCCCTCCCCCGTGTGTTTAGGTTAAAAAAATTATTTCAGTAACAGACACATTGGCATTAATTTCCCTTACAGTCCTCCTCCTAACTTTGAACACACTTGCTCCATCATTCTGCCATCCTTCTGGAGCAGCTCTGGAAGTCTTCCTTTGTGAGTGTCTTTAGTTGTGTTGTCCTGGCTGCCTAAACGTCCTGCATCTATAAAATGTTGACCTTTTATGGTCATTTTGACTTTGAGTAGGAGCCAGAGGTCACATGGTACCAGAGCCAGTGACTAAGGTAGATGAGGCCATGGTGTCATGTTTTTACAAGCTGCTTTTCTATTGTACTTGGTCATATCATTCACTATATTTTTTATCACACCTTGTAAAGACACTCATGAAAGAGGACTTCCAGAGCTGCTTCAGAAATCAGTAAGAATGATGGGATAAGTGTGTTTGAAGTGAGGGGCAATATTTTTTTGGGGGGTGATGCCAATGTGCTTTTTATGGTAATAAATTTTAAAAATTTAAACATTCGCCATACTCTTGATCACTCCTTGTACACCATTTGTCCCTGGACCAAGGCTTGTGGGAGTTTACCCATTTGACTAGGCCATCCTGAGGATGGCACCTCTGGGGAGGGCAGGTCACCTGGCAGCAGGCAAAGCCCTGGTGCTTCTTGCCTCCTGGCCTGCGGTGGCCCTGTGGTGGAGTCAGCACTGGGAGAGAGGGCTGCTCCAGTACCATCTTAATCCTTCTCCCCAGGGGACTACCGAGTGCACAGGAGAAAGCACCTCCCTCGGCCTTGCTGCTGCTGGCACCCAGGGGAGCCTTCCAAAGCAAGGGTGTGCTGGATGCTGCTGAATGAGCCCAGTGGCAGGCCATGGCACCAACACAGGGCTCTTGCTCCGGAGTCAGCAGTCTGGACTGACTGTGGTAGTGGACTTTCCCGCCCACCTCTTGGAGAGGGAACTTGAGAGCTTTCAGCATAGCTGTCTGGGATCCCTGAGACCATGGACATGGACTGGGGCATCCTGGCTGAGGCTATAGCCACTCTGAGGGCCTTGTTGAGTGAGCATGGTTACACAGTGAGCCAGCAAGCAAGCACCCCAGGAGTGGCTCCGGACTCGGGCCTGTGACTTCCTCTCAGCAGGGCCCCGGTAGGTGTTGTCTTTGGCCTTGTCCCTCCAGGCTGCAGCACTACTAAGGACAGAACGGTCTTCCCAGCTGCCACGTGCCTGGCCTTCATGGAAGAGCTGGAAACACAGAAGCCCAGGGACTGGCTTGGATCTCTGAGACAGGCTGGGGGGTGTGAGAGAAGGGGCCGGCAGGCTGGAGTTCCCACGGAGGCCTTCATCCCTGGGTTGTGCACGCAGAACTCTGTAGCCATGGCTGTGATCAAGGAACTGCAGAACCCTTAGCCAGGGCAGGCTGGGGACCGGGGAGGTGACAAAGAGGCCCAAGGCACTGCAGGTGGAAGGGACGTGATCATGTGGGCAGCTTGGGGGAGAACTGTGAAGCCCAGTGCAGCCAGAGAAGGGACAGCATGGACCAGCAGGTGCCCTGGCAGGGAGGCTGGAGAGCTGCTCTTCCACTGTCCTCCCTGAGGTCCTCCGCACAGCTCTATGTCCCTCTGATACTTGTGAAATGGAAACTCTTGTGACTCTGCGTTGGCCCTGGGAGGTTGGTCTCTCCAGCTTCCCTATGCTTTGACTGAGTCTTCAGAGGGGGAGACCCTGTCCCCTGAGCTCCCTATGGGGGCCCTGTAGACCCTGAGCTCCAAGGGCTATCAGTGCTGGCTGAGAGGTACTGATAGAGCAGCCCTGTGCTGGGCTGCAGCGTTCTTATACCTGACCCGTGACAGGCAGAGGCAGGAGAGTCAGCCGATAAGCTCCCTTGCCCTTTGTCCTCAGTTGGGCAAACACTCAAGGTCAGGCTTTTTGTTCCGTCAGTTCAGAGGGGTGTATAGGCCTAGCACGTGAACTGTGGTACATCTGGTCTACCCCGTGTGGCCCACCCAGAAGCAGCAGTCGGTGCAGAAATGTCGCACCCACATTTTCTTCTCTTGCATCCTGGGATTGCACCTTCCAGCAAGGTGTACTTCTGAATCCCAACCCCAGGCTCTGTTTCCTCCAGACCCCACACTAAGACATGAGAGACTAGAACAGGTTCCAGGAAGCAGACCCTCACTCAGGTTACTCCCAGCTGCCTGCCTGCATCAGTCCATGCTTCATGACTACAAGGAGAGACCTGAGGCAGGCTGCTATATACAGGAAAGAGGTTTGTCTAGTGCTTAGAGCTGGTGGCCAGAAGTTCAAGATTGGGTGAGGCTCTTGTGGCAGACAGCACCATGGCGGCTGCACATGGAGAAGGAGAGCGCAGGTCCCCGGTAGGAAGCTGAGTGGGGGAGGGCCCAGGCTCACTCTTCTACAACAGCCCTGTGCTGTGAACTAACCAGGTGTGCCATGGGAATGGCCTTTGCACCCTTGAGGACTGACTCCACCTCTTAAAGGGGCACACACCTCCCCTCGTCACCAGATTGGGGGGTGGGGAGGGGTGGGGAGAGGACATGTAGGTGACAGGGTCTCCATTCCTAGTGGTAAGCGGGACTCTCTTGACTAGAGGCCGTCTCTCTATGGCCTGCAGGCCAAAGCTGGCCTTCAGCGAGGGGACAATGTGCTGCAGAGAAAGTTCTTTACTCTCTGGCCCTTCACAGAAGGAAGTTGCAGTAACCTGTCAGCAGTGGCATCATGACTACCGGTGCTTCCGCCTGTGGATGGCTGGGCCAGGCAGGCAGTGCGGACTGGCATGAGCCAGCGGTGACAAGGGCCACACAGTGACAACGGGCAAGGAAGCACCTGATGCTGGGCCTGGAGACCTGCGCATGGGACAGTTACCGCCCACTGCAGCGAAGTTTGAAAGCCGAGCCTTCGCAGGCTGCTCAGGAGCTCACATCTCCCAGAGCCGAGCGGAGGCTGCTGAGCAAAGGCCGGAACCTGATGACCAAGGGTGCAGAGCCGCAGAGGACACCTCCTGTGTCAGCGTCAGAAGCGGCCTGAGAGCAAGGCGGGGGGCACTGAATAGATGAGCTGAGACTCTCAAACTCCCCGCTCCCCAGAAGCCTCCCTGTAGCTGAGCGATCACCTCCCCAGAGGCTCCTGCGCCCTCGCTCCATCCTGCTCTGGGCGCAGGGCTCGGGGTGGAGTTTGTCTCCCTGCCCCCACCTGGTGCTGGCCCTGTCAGGTCAGTTCCCAGCGTGCCCACAGCCCACAGCCGGGAAGCAGAAATTCTGCTGGGCAGGAACCTCCCTGGTCACCCAGGAAACCTTCAGCAGGCCCAGGAGCTCTGCGCCAGGGGTCTTCAGAACTGCAGGGAGGACAGCAGGGCGCTGTGGGGCTGGAGATTCGGAACTGTGCTTTGGCTTGGACACCAGGAAGTAGTGCTGATCATTTGTTGGGGCGACGCCAGTGGTGAACCAGTAAATGTTTAACAAGTGGCGCCCTACAGAAGGAGCAGAAGGAAGAAAAGGAGGAGGAAAAGGAAGAGGAGGAAAAGGAGGAGGAGAAGGAGAAGGAGAAGGAGAAGGAGGTGAGAGAGGAGGAGGAGAGGGAAAAAGAAAAGGAAAGAAGTTTTGTAGCATTTGCCAATTTCTGTGGTGTAAATAATCTCACCATGGCCAGTTCTCTGCTGCTACCAGGATCCCCTTAGGAACAAGCAGCAATACCAGCACGGCCACACGCCATGGCTGATGTGGCCAGCCTAAGTGTTCCCTCAGAAACAGAGTTTGGATCTGCCCAGAGACGAGAAATGAGTCTCCCAACGCTCAGGGCCTGAAGGCCACCTTTCCACACTCTGCTTGGAGGTGTTAGTGGGGCGCTTGTTGGCCAGTGACCCCCACAGGCATGTGAAGGTCTGTGAGCCCTGGTCCTGTGTGAGGAGCTGGGTCTGAGTCGGGTCCTGTGGGAGGTGGGCTGCAAGGATGATGCTTGGGGATCTGTAATAGCAACTCACGTTGTTTGCGGCGCGGACGGGCCCACAAGGTGCAGCCACTCCTGCTCTTGGTGGCCGTAAACGCTGCTGTTCCTGGCTCCAGCTTCTCTCTGGCTCATGACTGCCTTGCTTGGGCAGGTTTGACGCGAGTCCTCGAGGGACCTCTGGAGGTGCCTGGTCCCTGTGTGACTGTGTCCCCTGACACCTGCCGGCCTCCTGCAGCACTTCCTGAAGCAGGCTGTGTTCTGAGCAGGCAGAGCCTGGGGTCTGCACCGCCCTTGCCATTCTGGCCTCAAACCCTGACCCAAGGTCAGCAGGAGCACACCCCGAGTGTGGGTGTGTGGCACATGCATGCAAACTAAGCCTGAAACTTCCTGGCCTTCGTCCCAAATACTAGGGAGTGAACCCAGGACCTTCTCACTGAGCTGTATTCCCAGGCCTTTTTATTATTTTTTGCTTTGAAATGGTTTTTCTTAATGGAGACCACTGTGAAGCAGCTCTGAGTAGGATTTAATGTTAACTGATTGGCTTTTCATGTTTACGTGTGAGTTTGCCCCAGGCCTAGGCCCTTGTCCAGAGATGGGCAGTGGACTCATAGTAAGTGAACCACTATGAGTCACTCGTCCTCTATGATCACAGGCGCTGTACTGGCCTCTGAAGTTGGGACTCCTTGAAGGAGAAGATAAGGCCACAGCTGAGGACATTTGGCTCCAACCCCAATTAATTAAAAAGAGACTGTAGCTGCAGACATCTTACTCCTGTGCTGAAGACCTTCCTGAAGTTAACATAGTTCTCCTAAATTAACATAAAGTATTACTTGGAGAAGTCCTTAAAGGGATTCCAAAGTCCTGCCCAGATTCCTGCATTTTCTTCAGTATCCCCCTTCTTTGTTTGAAAACCTAAACATACGAGCTGCCTAGAGAAGTTCTTTGTCTAAAACCTCAGAATCTCCATTTCTGTAATAGGGTTAGACCTCCTGGAGCCCTAAAATCATTTCAATTGTCACATTTATGTAAGCTTTCACTCGGATCAGCTGGCAATAACTAAGGTTATTAACCTGATACTTTCCAAGTTGCGGAGGCTGGGGCTAAACTTCCTATCCTCCTGCCTTAGCCTCCCAGAGTTCTGGGCTACAAGCTTGTACCACCATGCCAGGCTACTATTTGTTTCTTTATTTGCGTGTGTGTGTGTGTGTGTGTGTGTGTGTGTGTGTGTGTGTGTGTGTGTGTTTGCCTCTGCTACCCTCTTTGCTGCTAGTCCTCTCCCTTTTTTGGCAATTTATTTTTTTAAAAATCAATTTACCTTATAGATGAGATGTATAAACTGACAGGGTGTGGTTTCAGGGAATTGTGCCCATGTGAATATACACACAGAAGAAAAATGGAATGGAAATCCCAAACTTTCACAGTGGAATATGTGGAGAGCATCAGTTTTCTTCTTTATACTTCTTAGTATTTTAGCATCATAACATGTCCTGTGATATTTATTATATATTACAAACTTTTGCCTATAAATGATAAGTTCTATATGTAATATGCATATGTTATAATAAGAATTTTTATAGTTAGAAAAATCACTATGCTTTTGAAGGTTATAAACTATTGAATATAAAATAAAAACTTACCTCAAAGAGGACACAGCTCAAAATGGTCTGCTCTTAGCCCCAGCCATGTTAACAGAGATGGAGAATCAGCACCTGAACAGTAAGAAGCAAAAGTCATTGAATTCTCCCTGTGCGGCCTGTATTGTTATTCGACTTCTATTTGTTTCCCAGATTCTGTCTTCAACAATTAGATAACTACAAGCTTCATGTTATGTTGAACAGCCGTAGCTGAAGATGTATTCAGCTTGTGTTCACTGTCTAATTCTTTGCAGACACTATGAACAAAACATAGTCTGCAGACAATAGGTAGCAAAAGTCGGATGATAAAAGCAGAAGATTTGGCAAGCATAGCCCGGGCTCACAGAGGAGGACGGTGAATGAACAGGAAGAGCCAGGCGTGTTAGGGTGGGGTTGATCAGATGCAGGGTCAGGGGACACTTTCTCGAAGCACCGGGGACTGAACCTGGGGCTTCCCACTGAGCTACATCCCCAGCCCATTTTTATTTTTCATTTTGAGACAGGGTCTTGGTAAGATGGAACCTGGCGATCCTCTAAGGTCAGAGCTTATGAACCTGCCACCCCCTTAGGGAACTCTGGGTGGCATCCCGTGCCTGGTAATGAAGGCTGTTTTAGTCCTAGGAATTAGGTTGTCTCCAGATCAGTTTGGAACCCACTCAAAATAAGATTCACTTCCCTTTTCTCCAAAAGACAAGCTTCCTCCCACCTGTATTAGTCTGTTTTCCATCACTGTAATGAATTACCTGAGGCCAGAGAGCTCATAGAGAGAAGACACTTACTCAGCTCCCAGTTTTGGAGGCTGAAGTCTAAACAGCATGACACCCTGAGGTGGCCGCTGCTGGGTGGTGTCCCTGGACGGCACTGTGGGAGGGGCATGTGTGACTGGAGAGGACCCATGGTGAGAAGCCAGAGAGACTCCAGGGGCCAGTCTTACCTATTTTTTTTTTTTTTTTTTTGTCTTTCAAGTCAAAGTCTTGCTATGTAGACCAGGCCTGCCTCAAACTCACAGGGATCTTCCTGTCTCAGCCTCCCAAGTGCTGGGGTTACAGGTGTGCACCACCATGCCTAATTGCCTTTTTTAAAAAAAGGTTCTCTTGAGAGAACCAAGGACCCCATGAGACCTACCTTCAGGCCTTCCAGAGACAGAGCCCCCAACCCATGACCTCAGCGCCCCTCACCAGGCCACAGCTCTGAAAGATCACCACTTTGGACACCACTGCACTGGGACCAAGCTTCTGGCCTAGGAACTGAGGGGACATGCTCAAGGACAGGACCACCCTCTCTCCCCACCTCCCCAGCTCCAAGTCATCGAGAACCGGGTCCTTAAACCTTAGGATGCCATGCAGAGCCCTCTGTCCTTGGCGGCTCTGGGCCTCCAGTTGCAGGGCCCAGTGTGTGTGTGTGTGTTTGTGTTTGTATGTGTGTGCGTGTCCATCTTCGCTGGTATCAAAGACTGACCCATTTTCAGCCACCACACTTCTGTAGCTGGCGCAGCCTTTGTTAGGTTTGTATAGAGGCCCTGGGGCTGGTGGCGGCGCAGGGTCTGGCGTTGGAGGAGGGGCAGAGACTTGGCGGGTGGCGGGGGCTGTCCAGGGCCTCTCGCCTCCTTTCCTCCTGGAAGATGTCAGAGGCTATGGTTTCCCTTTCCTCAGTCACGGCGTAAACCCGTCTGCAGACACAAAGCCGAAACGACAGGGGCCCCGAGGGGTCAGCGCGCAGGCAGAGGCTTGGCTCCTGTGCCGGCCCTGGACAGCAGAGGTAACTTCAAGGCCACAGGCAGCACAGGCCCGGCATTTGCTAAGTGCCTTTCTAAGTCCCAGCAAAGTCAACTTCTCATGTGCTTGTACAATTTCACTGCATGTAAAATGAAAACCATCGCTTCACCTCTGAAAACCTCCGCGTCCCTCCTGCATGTGACCCCGCGGCCCAGCCCTCCTCCTTCTCCATGCCGGCGCTGTGCTTCGGTCGTCTGTCCTGGATTTATGACAGCGGTTGAGCACGTAGGAGATTTGCCTGTTTGGCTGGCCCAGAGGGAGCGGCCTACATTGTTGGCCAGATACTGTCTTCCTCATGGCACACGCCATGCCGGGCTCGCTTCTCAGTGAGGACGAGAAGAGGATACATTCTCCTTCTAGGGTCATCTGACGAGAAAGGCTCTAGTGGGTCAAGAGCAAGCGCTTCTGG